TTCCGTATCTTTGCCTGGTTTCCATCTTTTATTTGTGCGTCTTTGATCACTTTTCGCCATCCAGGCCAAAGTACTGCTTGAAACTGGTTGTATAGACATCCTGGCCCGGGCACACCGCACCGGTTGGACGGCGTTACACTCGGCCGTTCACTTGTGCCTGCCCAATCTGGTCCGTGTTCTGCTGCTTCACCCGTTCACGTCTCCCATTCACCAACCGCATGCCGACGAGACGGCTCGCTCGGTTGCTCTCGTCCGAGCTCGTCTCTTGATCAACTCCACCACCGAGGCAGACTGGCCCGTCTCGGGCGCCGCGTCTTCCACACTCAGGATCCCGGTCTCGGCCTACCTGAAGGCCGATTCTCCCGATTCCACCGTCCCTTTCGACGACCGATCGGCTTCCGGACCAGTTTCTGCCCTTTCCTCCTCCTTTCCTCCTCCTCCTGCGCAGAGTTCGACAAGCAAGGTTGACTCACTCCTGACTTCCGCTGCGGCGTCTGCGGGAACTCTCATTTCGCTGAACTCGTCAGCGGCCGGCGCGAAATCCGATGGCCTCGAGGAATACGAGGCCAGCGACCTTTCAGATTCGGTTGCCGGTAGGAAGACGGCCTTGGAGATGTCGTTTGCTCAAAGCTTGGCCAATCCGTGTCCCGAGAGCCTGGCCACTTTGCACGCTCTGCTGGAGGCAGCGGATATGCTCGATCGGGTGGAGCACGAACTGGTGGCCGACTGCAGTGGCACCGGCACCGGCACCGACACCGGCAGCGGCGAGGCTACCGGTTTTGGTGCTCCCGAGACTCCTGGCGACGGGGACGGAGGAGTCGGGACACGATTGAGCACAAGCGATAGCACTCACTCGGGTGCTTCTCGGCTATGCCGAATGACGATGGACGGCGACCGGGCGCCCGACACAGTGTTGCACAGAGCTGTGCTGGCTGGCTGGTGAGTTCAACTTCCGAGGAAGAGGATGAGTGTGTGTGTGTGTGTGTGTGTGTGAGAGAGAGAGAGAGAGAGAG